CAATAGCAATGTGGTTGTGTTTGTGTGTCAAATTGATAAGGGGTAATTGTGCTGGATAGTTTCAGTTGTCACACTTGGGAAGAGGGAACCCCAGTTGAGACATTTCCTCTTTCAGCTTGGCTTGTAGCCATGTCTGTGATGCTTTTTTTTTTTTTTTTTTTGTCTTTTTGAGACAGGGTCTCCCTGTAGCCCCAGCTGTCCTGAAACTCGCTATGTAAAACAGGCTGGCCTCTGATTAAAGGCGTGTGCCACCATGCCCAGCTCATGATGCATTTTCTTAATTGTTAATTAATGTGGGAGGGCTTAGCCCACTGTGAGTGGTGCCAACCCTGGATGGGTAGTCCTGGGTTGTATAAGAAAGCAGACTAAACACAGGACAGAGGAACAAGTCTTGTCCCTCTTGGTCTGTGCTTCAGTTCCTGGCTCCAGGTTCCTGCTTGAGCTCCTGCCCTGACTTCCCTTGATGAAGGACTGTACTGTAAGCCTAAACAAATCCTTTCCTCTCCAGGTTGGTTTTGGTTAGTGTTTTATCACAGCAACAGAAAATCAAACTCAGACAGCCTCTATCAAAGGACAATAAATGGGTTTTTAGAACTGGGAGAGGGATCCAGAGCTTTGCTCTATCCACTGCATTACATCCACCTGGTGTTTCTGTGCTTTCAGGAACAGTGCACTCCTTTGGGGGACTTTAGAACTCTTGTATACCAAGCATGGTGATGTTCACCTTTAATCTCAGCACTTGGGAAACAGTCTGGGGGGCAGAGTCTGAGGTCAGTCTACATAGTGAGTCCTAGTCAGGGCTACATAGTGAGACTCTGTCTTGAAAAAACAAACAAACAAACAAACAAAAAACCCAGATGACTAAATGAATAGTTATTTAACCAGGAACACTTCACTGGTCACTTAGTTCATTTTCATTTCCTTTTTTTTTTTTCCCTTTTTGAATATCTAAATATCTGTGAATTTCTGTGGCTAGGTATTTACATAATTCACATTGTTTCTTGAGATGAATACCTGTAAATGGAATGGCAGGATCAAAAGAATAAATACAGATTGCTTTTCTTTTAAAAAAGATATATATAATATATATTTGGGGGGAGTGGTTTGAGACAGGGTCTCCCTGTAACCCTAGTTGACCTGGAGCTCACTATGTAGACCAGGCTGGCCTCTGTCTCACAGAGATCCTCCTGCCTCTGCCTCCTGAGTGCTGGGATAAAGGCATGTGCCATCATGGCTGGATATTTATATATGTTTTTAATTATGTGTATATGTGTGGGTACATGCACATGTGAGTGCAGGTGCATTCGGAATTCAGAAGAGGATGTCAATAGAGAGCCAAACTCCAATCCTCTACAGTGCTCTTAACTGCTGAATCATCTCTCCACCTTCTAGGTATTGTTTTTAACTTCATATTATGAAAACTTTTAAATAGACATAATTTATGGGATGTAAGCCAATGGTAGAGTATTTGCCTAGTCACAGGGCACTGGATTTGGTTCCCAGCACCACAAAAACCAAACTCAAAGGACATATATCTTTAGACATATAAGATGGAATAGTACAGTGAATCTTTCTCTTCCCACTTAACAATGATCAGCTTCTAAACATTTGTCCCATTTCTTCTCCTACTGGTTCTCTCCCTCAGTTTCTGCATTGTTTAGAAGCAGAGCCAAGACACTCTGCCAGAAAGAATCAATTCTGGTTTTTATCCTGCCCCACTTGAGGTACTGTGCACTGGCTATTAGAAAATGGGAGAGGAAAAAAGGTGACTTAATAGAAAAAATGGAGAAAGGGTAACATCATGTCAACATTAACCAGAGTGGCATTTGGGCTGTCCTCATGTTCCCTGACAGTCACATCTAGGCTCAGGACTAGCCACATGTACCCTAGATTCCTGCACCCCCTCTAACCACTCTTTTTGCATCTCTTTTTTCCTCCTTCTGGACTGGCATGCACATTTTTTAAAAAAAATATGTATTTTATTTTTATTTTTTTGAGACAGGGTTTCACTATGTAACCCTGGTGGCCTGGGATTTGCTACCAGGCTGGCCTCAAACTCAAACAGATTCCTCTGCCTCTGCCTCCTGAGTGCTGGAATTAAAGGCACATGCCACCACACCCAGCTTATTTTTAAGTTATGTGTATATGCATGTGTCTGTGTGTGGTCTTGTGTAATTGCGTGCAGCACCTCTGGAATCCAGAAAAGGGTGTCAGGACCCCAGGAGGTGGGGTTACAGGCAGTTGTGAACCACCTGATGTGAGTGCTGGGAACCAAACTCAGGTCCTCTGCAAGAGCACTATGCACTCTTTTTTTTTTTTGAGACAGGGTCTCCCTGTAGCCCCAGCTGTCCTGGAACTCACTATGTAGACCAGGTTGGCCTTGAACTCACAGAGATCCGCCTGCCTCTGCCTACCAAGTGCTGGGATTAAAGGCGTGCACCACCACGCCCAGCGCACTATGCACTCTTAACTGAGCCATCCCTCCTGCCTGTGACATGAACATTTCAAAGCCATCTCAGCTCTGGCCAGACTGCATTGCAGAAGTTTGATTAAACTACACCTCTGCCCCCATCACTTCTCAGTGCTGGTGTCTGTTAAATCCTTGGGTTCCTTCCTTCCTTCCTCCCTCCTTCCTTCCTCCTTCCTCCTTCCTTCCTTCCTCCTTCCTTCCTTCCTTCCTTCCTTCCCTCCTTCCTTCCTTCCTCCCTCCTTCCTTCCTTCAAGGTCTCATGTAACCCAGGCTAGTCTCAAACACATATGCAGAGGATAACCTTGAACTTCTGATCCTGCCTCTATTTCCTGAGTGTTGGGATTACAAGTATGTACTTCCTTCCTTCCTCCCTTCCTTCCTCCTTCCTTCCTTCCTTCCTTCTCTCCTTCCTCCCTTCCTTCCTCCCTCCCTCCCTCTTTCCTTCCTTCCTTCCTTCCCTCCTTCCCTCCTTCCTTCCTTCCTTCTCTCCTTCCTTCCTCCTTCCCCTCCTTTCCTCCTTCCCTCCTTCCTTCCCTCCTTCCCCCCTTCCCCCCCTTCTTCCCTTCCTCCCTTGCCCCCCTTTTCCCCTCCTTCCTTCTCTCCTTCCTCCCTTCCTTCCTCCCTCCCTCCCTCCCTCCCTCTTTCCTTCCTTCCTTCCTTCTCTCCTCCCTCCTTCCTTCTTTACTTTCCCTTTCCGTCTCTCTCTTTTTCTCCCTCTCTCT